TATGTTTATATTTACTTTTCAATTATTTTTTTGTTTTTTTTTCCAATTCTGTTGTATTTTATTTGTTTTTTTTAATTTATTTTTTATGTTTATATTTATTTTGTATGTTTTGGTATTTTTTTTTCTTTTTATTTTGTATTTTTTTGTTTTTATTTATTTTGCAGTGTTTTGTTAATTTTTTTTATGTCAATTTGTTAGTATTATTTTTGTTTATTTGATACTTTTTTTGGTTCGTCATTTTTTTTAATTTTTTTTATGTTTATATATATTTAAATTTTTTTAATGGAGTTAGGTATCGCATTTTCGACCTGGTGCGGGGAATAGTATGGAAGTTATTAGAAGTAGAAACTATTCAATGGAGAACTCGGGGCCTACACACGTTAGATCGGGTGGTATTTCGGCCTCGGCTCGCAGAGAACGGGTTCACCATCCTGAGGAGGATGAAGATGATGATGGTGAGGAGGAGGAGGAGGAGGACGCAGACGAGGATGTGGACGATCAGAGTGGACCATATGGTGATTACGGTCCATTCAGTCTGAGACTTGATGATATGTATGAGACGCATAGGGTAGATGTGCGTAAGGGTAGAGATGGTAGATTTATTAGCAGATCGGGAGACATCATCTACGTCCACTATGTTTGCAGTAAGTAGAAAACGGTGGAGGACCTTGCGCAGTGGCAGTGGGCGTCAAAGAGGGAATACTGATCTGTTGGCAGTTTATTTATAGAACATTTTGTACATTATCATAGTAGTTTGTAAAATCCGACATTATCGTTTAAGTTTACAACATTTGACATTATCATTTTAAGTTTTTAAAATTTGACATTATATTTTTAGTTTGTAACGCGCAAATACTAATTAGTATGCCTGCAAGATATAAATTTAGTCAAAATTAGAATACAAAAAATAAATAACTGGAATAAAAATATCAATACAAATACAAGGTAACATAGAAAAGGTATACGCATGAAAAACTAAAAGGCAGCTAGGTTGTTCCATTGACGTATCCGGTCACGATACAGCACATCACTACTACAAATCTCTTACTTTCTAGACGTTGTTGGCTCGACGATGTCTATGAGGCGTTAGTGGAAAAATACATTTCCGCTTTTTATCGACGCTTTTTTAAGTCGAAGTAGTTTCTCGACATGGAAAAGCGTCAAAACGCTGGAAAGGAATGATTGGGGGGGATGTAGGCTTACATCATAAGGATGGGACCCATGACTTCAAAAAGCGGTGTATGAAATTTTAAAACATAAAAAATAAAAAAAGAAAAAAAAATCAGAAACCGCCCCTGCTACCCACACACCTAATAGAAACCCTCTCTCTCTCTCCTCTTTCTCTAGCTTTCAGATCTGAAAAATTGATACTTTAAAACTAATTGTTCATCACAATCCTGTATTCTTATACTGTTATAAAATCGTAGTTATCTTTTGAAGCCGCTTGAAATTTACTGAATTTGGGTCGAAGTCGTGTTAAATTTCTTACGCTGCTTGTTAATTTCTTCAATTTATGGTAATATCGTTCAATTCTAATCAATTTCCTTGCTTTGTGCTTGAATATCATTCAGATATACTTGGTTTTATTGATTTGTTGTGAAATTACATTGAATTTTTATTAATTGTGTAGTAGTAGAAAACCATTGTATTTAAATCTAGGGTTTAACTGTATGGCATGTTGCGTGCATAGGGTTTATTGAGCGTTTTAGTTGATTTACGTTTCAATTATTTTGGGTTTTAGTCTAATTGATTGACAATCTTAAATGTTGCAGAATTTCATTTAATTTGGTTTTGTTTTATTACTCAGATCATCCCTTTTCATTTTCTCGGCTGGGTTTTGCGCTATGAACTCAATACATCATACCATGCCCGCCGTCTAGAGTCCTTGAGAGATTTATGATTTGCTACTACTAAATAAAAACCAGATCTATTTGCAACCTATTTTTCCCAATCAATCGCTTGTTGAGCATCTTCAAAGGGACCATCATGTACAAAAATCCTATTATAATCATTTCCGTCTCCACCATAATCTTGAAACAATGCCATATTATTTTTAAATACATATAATTATATAAATATTAAATTAATACATTTAACACAAAATTAACACATAAGTAATTTCTAAATTTTTTATTTGTAAATTTCATTTCTATATTTAACGCATAATACATTTAATTTTTAAATTTATACATAATTAACAAAAAATTAACACATAATTATGTATAAAAGTATTCATACACATACAAAATTAAAACATAATTTTTTTTTTGAAATTATTAACACTTATTTAATTTACACATACAAAATCAAACATAATTTTATTAACACATATTTAAAACATAATTTCAAATTAAACAAAAATTTATTTTATTTTTGAACTTATTAACACATATTTAATTTCAAATTTATCAAAGTTAAAAAACCACAAAAAAAAAACTTTAAATAAAATTATAAAAAAAAAAATTACGAAGCGTCTGGCCAGGACGCCGCCACCGTGGCGGTGGTGTCTTGCCGGAACGCCGCAACCGTGGCGGTGGCGCTTGGCCGGGACGCCACTACCATGGTGGCGGCGCCTGGCCAGGCGCCACCGCCACGGTTGCGGTGTCCCGACCAGACACCACAACCACTCGTGGCGTCCCGGCCAGGCGCCACCCCTACTTTTCGTAATTTTTTCCCCGAATTACCTCGCTTTCCGGCGACGATGACGCCTCTCCGATGTCCCTCGGCCATTCACTCTGGCTCCACATTTTTCGTGAGAGAGAATTACGTTTTCGGTAAAAATTAGAAAAGGGGCAAAAGAGTCAAAGTAAAAATAATTGTGGGCTTTATGTAGAGATTTGTGGGCGATGTTTAACAAATCCCATCATATTAGGGTACGATTCAAGACGTATCGTCGTGTGTCCAACATAGACACAACAGTTGGGTGAGGTATCCATGCATTCTAGCAATAATTTGATTGAGAGTGAGGGGTAGCTCAAGTGGTTAGAGCTTCCCGCTCGGTTCTAGGAAATCCTGGGATCGATTCTCATCCTGTGAGACTGTCCATTAACCAATGGAGGAAGAATTGTTGCGAGACTGGGAGAAGTTAAAGCTTACGAAGGAGGAGACAAAGATAATTGGCGGCGATTTGTTGGGACCTGAGATAGAGGATACCAATGCCCAATTGAACTAACGTTAGTCGAAAAATTGTGCACAACCAAACCTTATAATTCAGAGGCTCTGAAATGCACACTGCAATCAGTCTGGAAATTGAAGGAATCAGTGGCAATTCGAACGGTGGGATCCAATCTTTTCGTCTTTCAATTCTTTTGCGAAAACAACAAGAACAGAGTAATTGAAGGATGCCCTTGGTTTTTTGATGACAAGATCCTATTATTGAAAGAACTTCAAGGCGATGAACAACCCTCCGAAGTCAGTTTTACCCATACTCCAATGTGGATTCGATTACTTAATGTTCCTTTCAACAAACGCAGTGAATCAGTGATGTATAATGTAGGTGAATTTTTAGGGGGCTTTGTAGAACTTGATGATGAGGATCCCCTGGGCTGGAACGAATTTGTCCAATTGAAAATTATGATGGATATTCGTAAGCCTTTACGGAGAGGCCTATTGCTTGCGACAGGTACACGTTCTCGAAATGGATAGACATGAAATACGAGAGATTGGCAGACTTTTGCTTCTTTTATGGGAGAGTTGATCACACTGATAGGGATTGTCAATTTAAGGAGAACACTGATGATCAAGAAGAAGGCCTTGTCTTCCAATATGGACCGTGGCTTCGTGCAACTCCGAGGAAACGGACAAGAATAAGTCTAGCTGAAAGGGAAAAGGAGAAAAAGTGGAGAGAAAGCCTCAAGTCGGGGACCTTCTCAAAGACTCTAAACTGTGATGATCCTGGTGCCATTAAACTAGGACCCCCAAGAGTAGCCAGAAAACTCCTATTCGGGAAGGAGAAGGACAAAAAAGAGGAGAACCGGGCTGACCAAACACCTAAGGCGAGAGAAGCGCAATTAATGATTGAGCAAGTGCAGGGAGTTCAAAAAGTGTTATCAGAACTAGAGCAGTAGGTCTGGCTTCTAGTCATGAAACATTAAATGTAGAGGGGGACGGGAGATATGAGAAGGATGGTGACATAAGTGCTGCAGTGGAGGGAATGGAAGTAAGCCCTATGATTGTAGAGTCAGACGAGGGTGTGGATGTTGAAAAGGGGTCAGATGAGGGAGGTAACATAAGTAGTATCATCAACAACGCTATTAATGTATACCCTCTCTCTTCTGCCAATATAGATGGCAGCCAACCATTTTTGTTCCCCATACAATTTGCAATGTTGATGAAAGAATGTCTACAGGAGGGAGTTGGAAAAGACTAGCAAGGAATAATAATTCTGGGAAGTCGATTGGTAGTGGCATAAGCAGCAATGTGAAAGAGGGGAGTCGAAACAGAGGTCTGGAGCAGGTTGAAGAGGAAGTCATAACTAAAAGAACCAAGGGTGTGGTTCTTACTTAGGCTGGAGACGGGGTAAACCAGGTAGAGGGTGTAGGCAAAAACCAACCCCTCGAAAAGCAATGAATGCTTTATGTTGGAAATGTCGAGGCATTGGCAACCCTCACACAGTTCGCTCACTACGTAAGTGGTGCTTTTATCATGCCCTTAGCCTTGTTTTTCTTTCGGAAACAATGATCAGCAATGTAGCGTCTGAAGCTTTAAAAAACAGGTTAGGTTTTGACAGTGCGTTTGGAGTTCGTAGTGTGGGAAAGGCCGGTGGATTATGCTTGTATTGGAATAGAGACATTATATCTTTTGATCTTATTTCTTACTCTGATAATCATATATGTGAGAGGGTGGAGCAGGGAAATTTATCTTGGAATTTTGTTAGCATCTATGGGTGCAGTGGCCGACCAATGGAGAGAAGCACAATACCTGGAATCTGATTCGCGTTTTGTGTGAAAAGCTAGAGGGACCGGTCTTATTTGGGGGGAGATTTCAAAGAAATTCTCAGCATGGAAGAGAAGAAGGGAGGGTCTGATAATGAAAGAAGGGATATTGGCAACTTTCTAGAAGCATTGAATGACTGTAATTTGCGTGATTTGGGCTTCATAGGTCAATGGTTCACGTGGGAAAGGGGGCGCACTATGGCCAAAATGGTACAGGGAAGACTCGATTGTTTCTGTGCCAACAAGGCATGGTTTGATTTGTTCCCGGATTTCCAAGTTGAACACTTTGTGCGGGTAAAATCTGATCACTCTCCCATCTTTATTCGACAGAAAAGGCCTAAGCGAAAGCGGAGAAGGGGGAAGAAGTCTTTTAAGTTCGAAACGGCCAGGCTGTTGGAGGCCTCTTGTGAACAGACAGTCAAATCGGCTTGGAGTGACTCAGAAGGAAGAAGTATGCTGGACAGATTATGCTTGATACTGGGTTCGTTGAGAAATTGGAGTGGGAAGCGGTTTATTAAATTCAACGAACAACTTGATTCCCTGGAGAAAGAACTTCAAGAGATGCAAAGGAAGGATATTTCGGAGGACCATATTCGCATTTGCACTGAGTTAGAGAGGAAAAGGGAGGAGGTGTTAGATAAACAGGAAGCCTATTGGTACCTAAGGTCACGAACAACAGAAATAAAGGATGGGGATTGAAATACCTCGTACTTTCACCACAAGGCGTCTCAAAGAAAAAGAAGAATGAAATAACAGGCTTGTTTGATGATAATGGGGTCTGGCATTATGACGAAGAAGACTTCGAAGATATAGCTGTCAACTACTACTCAAATCTTTTCTCGTCCTGAACTCAACCTGATATGCAATGTCAGGAAGTTCTCAGTGCCGTAGCTCCTACTGTCTCCACCGAAATTAATGAGAAACTTCTCAAATTGTATACCAAGGACGAGATTTACAAAGCAATTTGTGAGATGCATCCTTGTAAAGCCCCGGGTCCCGACGGATTACATGCAATCTTTTACCAGAAGTTTTGGCACATAATTGGAGATGATGTCTCTAATCATGTTCGTAGCATTCTTGAAGGTATGTGCACCCTGAATGAGGAAAACCATACTAATATTGTTTTAATTCCAAAGATAAAATCTCCTTGTTATATGTCAGAATTTCGACCAATTGCACTTTGTAATGTTTTATACAAAATTGCGTCGAAAACTCTGGTGATGAGGTTATAAAATCAATCTTACCTGGAATAATTTCTGAAAATCAAAGTGCTTTTGTTCCGGGAAGATTGAAGACTGATACTGCTCTTATTGCTTTGGAATTATTTCATACTATGAAAAAGAAAAGTACTTGTCGCAAAGGGACCATTGCTCTAAAACTTGATATGAGCAAGACATATGATAGAGTAGAATGACATTTTCTGGAAAAACTTCTCTTGCGTTTGGGATTTGCTGACAAGTGGGTTAAGTTGGTTATGAACTGTGTGAAGACGGTTTCCTACTCTTTCATAATCAATGGGGTTGTTTGTGGAGATATCAAACCGTCCGAGGCTTGAGACAAGGAGACCCCTTCTCTCCCTATTTGTTCATAATGATTGCAGATGCAATTTAAGGGCTTCTCTGCATCCAAAGCTGTGATAAATAAAGAGATTCATGGAGCTAAAGCTAGTCGCAATGGCCCATAATCTCTCACCTTTGTTTTGCTGATGACCGTTTGCTATTTGCCAGGGCCAATCGGAAGGAATGCTCAAAGATAGTTGACATCCTCAACAGTTATGAAGCAGCTTCCGGTCAGAAAATCATTTATGAAAAATCAGAGATCTCGTTTAGCAAAGGTGTCAGTCCCTTGAAGCAAAAAGTGTTGGTTGAATTCTTAGGAATGCGATTGGTAGATGATCATGGTAAGTACCTTTACCTACCATCATCGGAAGGTCGAAGAAAAATGTTTTTGCAGCTCTGAAAGAGAGAATTTGGAAGAAGCTCCAAGGGTGGAAGGAGAAGCTTCTCTCACGTGCCGGCAAGGAAACACTCATAAAATTAGTCATCCTAGCAATTCCAACGTATATTATGAGTGTTTACAAAATTCCTGTGAGTGTGATCGACGAAATTAGAGCCATGACGACCAGTTCTGTTGGGGTAATTTGGCTATAGGTAGGAAGGTCCATGGATAAATTGGAACTCTCTGTGCTCTCCCAAGTGTTTGGAAGGTCTTGGATTCCGCGACATGGCTATATTCAATGATGCAATGCTAGGACGTCAAGCTTAAAGGCTGATTTCCAAGCCTAACGCGCTTCTAAGTAGAGTCATGAGGATGAAATATTATCCAAGTGGTGATTTTATCACTACAAGAAAATTGTCTTTACATAGCGTTATTTCGTAGTGATTTTACATTCGCTATAGTATGCACATATGTTTGTGAAATAGTAGTGGAATCCGTATTATTTTACGCACATTTATAAAACATAATAATATTTATTCACCATTTTTATGCACATTTAGAAAATTATGGAAAAGCGTATTGTTTACAATCGTCACTAAAACCCAAAAATCGATACGAAAAACCTTTTTTACACTAGATTTTAAAATTTTGTTTGACAAAGAGAACAAAAAATATGTCATAGATTCTTGGATAAACATTTAATATTAAAGCTTGAGGTTGCATGTTCGAATCTTGTATAGATCATATGTAGGGTGTTTATTTATTTATTTATTTTTTGTAGAAAATGAGTTCAATATTTGTAGCGATTACAATCGCTACAATAATCACCATGATTGAATGTTGTTTTCCGTATCGATTAATAAGGACAACCCTAGCGAAAACGAAAAACACTACTAAAGGCTATGGCAACGGCGGATATTGTATTGAATAACCATTCGTTGGGATTTTTTTTTTTTTTTTTTTTTGAAGCAATTACAATCGATACGAAATGTTAACATAATCGCTATGAAAATGTATTTTTCTTATAGTGTATAAAGGCAGTAGCCGGGTCGTCATGCATCCATTCATGGAGGAGCATCCTCGGGGCAGAATATTTAATGGAGAAGGGTCTGATCTGGAGAGTTGGTAATGGAAGTGACATAAATATCTGGGAAGATTCTTGGGTTGCAGATGATAGGGGTAGCAAAATTACTTCTGAAATGTCTCCGGAAGTAAGTAGAGTTTGTGATCTAATTGACTTCAAAGCTATAGACTGGAAGCAAGACTTGCTGGAACGTACATTCAATGCGAGAGATGTGTCTTGCATTCCTTCTATTCCCATCATCATTAGATCTTCCAAGGATTGCCTTACCTGGGCCTTTTCCAAGGATGGGCAATACACTGTTAAAACAGCCTACATGCTTGGTAAGGGTTTTAATTTCGACATGTTCCACCAAGCGTGGGTAAAGCTTTGGCAACTAGATACCACTCCCAAAATACGTCATATGCTATGCCGTACTTGCGCTCAAACTTTACCTGTTAGATCCTTGTTGAAATCTCGTCATATGACGAAAGATGATACCTGCCCATGGTGCAAGAATGGACCAGAGAGACTTTGAGGCATGCCTTATTCACCTGTCTTGCAGTTTGCGATTTGTGGGTGGAAGCATCATGCAAAATGCTGGTGTGGGGAGAGCTTTTTACCGATTTCAAGGATGTGCTCGAGGCATGGGGTAAGGCAAACATGAAGCTGCAACAGAAAGGAGCTGCTCTCCTATGGCTCATTTGGAAGAGGCACAATGATTTGATTTTTAATAACATTGATACACCCCATGTGGTCGTTATTTCTCGAATGCATCAGAAGGTAGAGGATTATGACAAGTATGCTTAACGTATTTATGGTTGTAAGATCCCTGGAAAGCCAAAAAGTCTTGCTACCTGGGTTCTCCCCTATGGATGCATCAAAGTGAACTGTGATGCTTCTACTTGTGATGAAGGCTGGATTAGGCTAGGGGCGGTCGCTCGTAACCATTCGGGTGAAGTTCTTTTTGCAGGCACGAGAAGAATGAGGGGCAACTGGGATCCTGAACTTGCCGAATGCAAGGCAATCTTATTTGCAGCATGCTTAGCCAAGAAGTAGGGGATTAAAGAAGTAATCTTGGAATCCGATTGTCAAGGGCTTATAAAAAGACTTTCGAATGCTGCCATTTACTTCTCAAACTTGGACTTGCTTCTGGAAGATGTTCTTGATGTTAGTTCTTATTTTTCATTCATTTCTTGGTCACATGTAAAAAGAGATGGGAATTTTGTTGTTCACCATCTAGCACGTATTGTCCCTCTCAGCTATGAACAAGTATGGATAAACCATTGTCTGGATATAGTAATGCCTTATGTACTCATGGACAATTTGTCCGTTAATTAATGACATGTGACTTCGCTTGCTTTCAAAAAAAAAAAAAAGAAAAAGAAAAAGAATTAGGAACAAAATTATTTAACAAAAAAAAAAAAATCAATCAAACTACCCATGTTGAACGTATAGTTTCTAATCCCTAATTATGCCCTAGCCATGTATGTGTTATATTATAAGCAATAAAATAGCAATTATTTATCTCGATGTTGCGTGAACCAAAACTGACCGTGTCGTGGCGAACCACTGACCTAAAAGACGCTTCCGCGCCACCTTTCGGTGCAGTAGACGTGAAGCGGTAGCCCTCCGGGATAAGCACGGCGCCGGAATTTATGTTCACTCACAAAACCGACTGGAATTCAAAACACTTGCCCAGAAAACAGAAAGAATAATACCTATGTTTAGAATTTTTAGAGAAGAGGGAACATGATTGTTGTTGTGTTTATGGTTAAAGATGAATCGAGTATATATAGGGAGAAGGGAGCAAACGACTAGCAGAAAAGAAGGAATCTGCTCAGCCAAAAACGTCCAGATTATCTCTGTCAATTAAGGGAGTGTAACAGGAAGCTATAATCTAGGAAATAATGGCTGAACAAATTTCCAAAAGTCAGAAAATCCAAACAGTCAAAACTGAATTAAATGCTTAGGAATATTCTATCAACAAAGAAAGGAAATAAAATTTCTCCAAAAATATAGAGGGCCCACAGCCCACCCACGCTCGCGCATCGCATTCCCCAAGTCTCGAGGCACGAGCCCATTCGGCTCGGCGTGCGTGCATGTGTGTGGTATAACACCCACCTCCCACTTACTCAACTAAGTAGTACTAAAGTATTATAGTTATAAACAAGGAAAAACACTCTCCCTCAACCAATGTGGGACACTTTTCCCTCTTTTTGTTTTCTCTCTCTCTTGTTTTTATATCAAGAACTTCCAACACTCTTTTTTTTATATCAAGAACTTCAAACAATATGCACTACCTACAGGTAGGGGTGTACACCGGTCCAAAACCGGACCGGACCTGTTTGGACCGGGGACCTGAATTGGGTAATTATGAGGACCGGGGACCGGACCTGAATTAACAGGTTCGGTTCCGGGCCAGACCTGAAAAATCAGGTCCGGTCCGGGTTTGGACCTGAATGGACCTGTTTTGTGTCTTTTTCGTTTTTTTTTTTTAAATACAAAACCTGTTGGACCTGCATATGGACCTGCATATGGACCTGTTTTGTGATTTTTAGACCTGTTGCATAATTTAATAATTACATACAAACCAAAATTATCAATTACAAAACTACATAAAGTCTATAAAGTCCCGATTCTCAAACACCAAAAATACAAATGAGTCCACCGAAAATACAAATAAGTCCACGAAAACTCA